ACACACACACACACTCCGCCTAGGCCTCACCGAGACAGCCCCCCCCCCGCCCTACGGGACCCTCTGTGAGACACCCCCCCCCCCACGCATAGGGACCCCTGTCCTGACCCCCCAGGCCCAGGGCTCAACGCTGCTGTGTCTCTCCGACCAGGGTCTGGGTCTTCTCTGCCTTGCAGGCTCTGCCAGGGGGTGAGAGACCAGCTCCATAACCCCAAATACATGGGGCTGAGCAGCAGGGGAGACCCTCTCCCAGCCCCCCCACTGCTCCTAACAGTCCCAGCCCACTCACCCCCACACTCCTAACTGCCACAGTCCAGACTCAAACCTGACACCACTCCATTTCTAACTGCTTAGAGTGAAAGTTTGGTGCCTGCCCCCATTTTTGACTGTCTCACCCTAAAGTCAACACTTAATCCTTTCACCCCATTCCTAACTGCTTTAACTCCATCTCAGAATGAAATCCTGAAACCTACCCTCTAATACACACCCCTTTACCCAAACTTCATAATGTGAGTTGGCTTGTTGTCCTACAGAACTGGGTTGTAACCAGAGAATGAGTCCAGGAGCCATAAATAAAAAGCTGCTTCCTATTAGTCAGCTGTGGCCTGAAACTAATACAATTTCTTACAACATCTTGGATTTCATTAGCACCTTTCCCCCCCCACAGGGCTTTACAAACTAATGTTCAACCTGTATGCAGGGATCATTTCAGCTGCTGCTGAAATGTTGCCATGTTTATGGCAGCTGTTTAATACGTGAACAACACAACAAATTAGAACATGAAGTGAAGAACGACAGTAGTAAAAACAAAACTTCTTTGTAATGCTGACACTTAATAAGATCATAAATGAATTTTTAAAGGAGTAAGAGCTCACCAAGTTTCCTGAAATACTCTTATTGCTAGTTATTGAGCACCTGCAGTGCAATGAGTGCAGTACAGAAGAAGAAATTGTCCCAGTGCCATAGTGTTTATGATCTAAATTAAACACTGACAATGCAGTTCAGTTGCTACAGGCCGTCTATATTAATGTTTTAGCAAATTAAGTTTTATTTGTTTTATGGTAAACAACCTAGACTATTTTGGCAAATAGGTATCCATTGATTACTGCTATTACTCACAACATACTCTAGGGTTTTGATATGATCTTTCTAAAAATAAGCATAAAAACACAGAAAAACAGCCCTGATCTTCACCGGTGTCTTTTGTAACACAGGTTGAATGATGGCGAGTTATTTGTCTCACCCTGACTTTCTATATGTAGCTAGTATAGACATTAAATAAACAAAACATTTTTATATACCACTAGTTGATAGCTTTAACTTTTTCTAATACTATAGTCATAACATTAAGAAAATACATTTCAGTAATGGCTTTTCTTCGTAGTATAATAAACAAACATTGCTTCAGGTAATAGTGTTGTTTCAAGCCCTAAATTTAGACATAATGCTTGTAAGGGAAATAACAGTAGGCTAATGGTTATATTTATAAGATCATGCTGTTATTTCACTTAAGGCTTGTACACACCTTGATAGTTTCTTTAATGCCTTGATCCTGAAACTGACTTAACATGTGCAATGCCTCCTTCCCCACTTTAGCGTGATTATATGTAGGTTCAGGGATCTACCTACACTGAGTTATTTGAAGGACAGTGGCCTAAATTTATAATTTTTTAAAACTGTATCAACTCACTTCTTCTAGATGGTCCAGCAGAATTGAGCTTTCTAGAGGAATTTGCTTCACTAATGTAAGATTTAGCTAAGTGAATATCTAATGGTCACCTAACATTTTACCTACTTGACTTCTTTTAGGAGCTTTACCTTACTCTGTAGCTGAAACATGGGTAAGGCTACGTTTTAGTCACGGGTATTTTTAGTAAAAGTCACGGGCAGTAAACAAAAATTCACGGCCCGTGACCTGTCCATGACTTTTAGTATATACACCTGACTAAAACTTGGGCGGGGGGCGGAGGGGGGGTGTCTGAAGGAGGGCGGCCTGGGTACTGGGGGGCGGGACGGGCCGTGAGCTGCGAAGCCAGCACTCTGGGCAGAGGCAGCGTGCAGTGCTGCCTGGCCATGCCTCCGCGTAGCAGCTGAGTGAGGGGGATGTCGCTGCTTCTGGGGAGCCCCCCAGGTAAGCGCTGCCCACAGCCCACCTCACCCCATCCCATGCCCCAACCCCCTGCCAGCGCCCACACCCAAACTCTGCTGCTGGGAGAGGGAAGGGGTGCGGTATCCCAAGACTGCCCCAGCAGCGGCCAGTGCGACTGGTACAGGGGCTGCCTGAGCTGCCCTTGAGCTGCTGCAGAAGTCCTGGAGGTCACGGAAAGTCATGGAATCCATGACTTACGTGACCTCCATGACAAACCCACAGTCTTAAACGTGGGCAATTATCAACACTAGAATTGATACTGGTGCTGCTTACAGATGGACATACAGGAACAATGCAAAACCCACAAGAGTTCAGAAATTGAAGCCTCTTCCTCATGCTGTCACACAATCTTTGACTTTTTACAACTATCCTCTTTGGAGAAATATAATCTTTTTTAAAAAAGAATCGCAAGTTCTTTTCTATCCTAGTATCTCTGATAAAAAATATTTTCACTGTGTCTTATTAACTGTTTAATTGAGAAATATGGCGAAACCTTTGAGAATACACAAGAGGATCTTCTGCTTCTGCAAACACTCACTTGAGTAATCCCACTGAGTTTAAGTCATAAGTATTTGCAGGATCACGGCCTAAAGTGTTAAATAACCATTCAGACCCTGCTGGAGTTAGCTACCCTGAAGCTGATTTGTCAGTTGGATTTGTTCCCAGTTGATCTACACAGCCATTTGGAGATGTGCATGTTTATCTCTTGTGGCCAACAGCAAAGAAAGTTTAAGATCCATGTCAAAGTGTTGAATTATATATTATGAAATGTTAAAAAAGCCCATCCTATTTCA